AATCAGTTTCTCTGACAGCTTCAGAAGCTTTTCATGAGCCAAGACAGTGATACTCCAAGGTACTGCAGCACTGCGGCACTGTCTGAGTTTGCTGATTCTTCTTGCTTCTTTCCTAACCTTCTGATGAGCTTTTGAATCCTCCCTGAGCTGCTGGGCTGTCACTTTCTTCTGGCAGAGAAGGGCATATGCTCCATCTTCTGTGAATTTCACATCACCCCATGTGGCTGGAATCCCTACCCTGCAGCTGAATCAAGGATTGGTGTTGTCAAGAAACTGCAGCAACTGCTATTTCTCACTGTCTTAGTTTGCCATTCCTTAGAGGTTTGTAATCAGGAGGATGACCGAGACCTGCATTACTAATGCAGATGAAGAAAATCTGACTGCCCCAGCCCTTTTAGAAGTGAACAAAATTCCAGCTGGCTTCAATGGGGATTTGATGTGAGTTAGCACCAGAAAGCTGAGCAAAGGAAGGAACTGGGCCCATTTGTCAGAGCAGGTGTCGGGTGCTGGGACATGGCACAGAGGATGAGAACCAGGGGTGGAACACAGAGTCAAAACCGGGTTAACTGGAGTCAGGCAAAGCAGGAGCAGAGCTGGGTCTGAGGCAGGATCCAGGCTGGGACATGGGAACAAAGTGGGGTCCATTTCTGTGGCAGGTCAGGGATTGCCTCATCGCCCAGCCAGCTTCATATTGTTTGGGCTAGGCACACTGTTTAAAGCCAATGGAACCCATGAATGTGATAGGCTCTGTCACTCTGGGTGGGACATTCCGTGGTGCTTGGCTCTCCACCAGACCCACCAACTGGAAAGGTGGGGGAGCAATTGCCCCGGGCTCAGTGATTCAAGGGCTCCTGGCCACCATGGCTGCTGGGGTGGTGGCATTGAGAGCAGGGAGCTGGTCCCTTCATCTTACCCAGTGGCCAGCAGTGTCCACTTCCCAGCCCTCTATCACTCATTGGACATTGCTATGGCTACGCGAGTGTGGCAGTCACTCAGGGACATGTCCACATGTCTAGGGGTCATAGTGGACCACAAGTTGAATATGAGTCAACAGTGTGATGCTGTTGCAAAAAAAGCAAATATGATTCTAGGTTGTATCAACAGGTGTGTTGTAAGCAAAACTCGTGAAGTCATTCTGCCGCTCTATTCTGCACTAGTTAGGCCTCAGCTGGAGTACTGTGTCCAGTTCTGGGCGCCACATTTCAAGAAAGATGTGGAGAAATTGGAAAGGGTACAGAGAAGAGCGACAAGAATGATTAAAGGTTTAGAGAACATGACCTATGAAGCCAGGCTTCATGAACTGGGCTTGTTTAGTTTGGAAAAAAGAAGATTAAGGGGGGACATGATAGCGGTTTTCAAATATCTAAAAGGGTGTCACAAGGAGGAAGGCGAAAATTTGTTCCTCTTGGTTTCTGAGGACAGGACAAGGAGTAATGGGCTTAAAGTGCAGCAGGGGAAGTTTAGATTGGACATTAGGAAAAAATTCCTAACTGTCAGGGTGGTCAAATATTGGAATAAATTGCCAAGGGAGGTGGTGGAATCTCCCTGTCTGGAGATATTTAAGAACAGGTTAGATAGACATCTGTCAGGGATGGTGTAGACGGAGCTTGATCCTGCCTTGAGGGCGGGGGGCTGGACTCGATGACCTCTCAAGGTCCCTTCCAGTCCTATTATTCTATGATTCTATGATTCTATGTCGTTCTAGAGTCTAACCCACAGCTCCTCATAGTCCTCTGTGGAGAGGACTTTTGCTTGCATATTGAAATGCTAACAGACCTGGGTCATCAGCAGGTGGGACTGAACCTGCGACCTTTGTAGCTAAAGCCACAAGCCTCCCCTGCATGAGCTCAAAGACAGCAGCCTCTTAGATAAAGATATAGAGGAGCTGTCATTCTCTCTTGTGATAGTCCTTGTGCCTCTGGGTTGACAATACTTGGCATGAAAATACTTGGCCCCGAACTTGGGGTGAAAGGAAAGACTTCCCAAAGAAGGCCTCACTGTGAGCTCAAAGGCTCGTCTCTCCCCAACAGAAGTTGGTCCAATGAAAGATGTTTTCCCATCCATCTCATTTCTCTAATATCCTGCAGCTGGAATGGCTTCATTACTGCGTGTTGTGAAGAGACAAATACACAACAAGATGACACCAACAAATAACGATCTAGTGACCTACGAATTGCCGGTCTCATTTCCTTTTTACCGAGGTGGATTTGTCTCTGTCTTATTTACACCTGGCCACTGCTAATTGATGTCATTTACTATTCAGCATTGGGAGTAATAGAATAACTTTTTATCATGCCCTGTCATTAAGATATTGTCACTTCTTTCATGATGGGGGACTTGGTCCCCTCAGGGCAGAGATTAGATAGGAGGAGAAACATTGGCCATTGTGTCTCACTAGGAGAGTTTATATGAAAACTTTAAATGGATGAAAAAGAGCTGGTGCCAAAAGGCAGCATCATTTCCACCAGTGATGTAATGGCTTCCAGTATTTGTTTTGATGGGAAGAGCAGAGCTGGGATAATTAGCTTTGCTTCATCTTAAAATAAAATATAAAATTAGGCTCTTGGTGTCTTTTTCAAGCTGTTGCTTGTTTTCTTTCATGTTTTGCTTTGCACACTCTCTGCTCTGATGTCCTGGCTGCAGTCCTGAGCTTTGCTGAAGGGATGCAGACTTCACTGAAGTCTCCCCCCATCGCCACCCGTGAATTCTAAGCACTTTCCTCTTGTTCAAAAGGAAACAAAAGCGGCTTTAGTGATATAAAGTTGCCAAAGGCAACCCTGGCCAAAGTCATCTTTCTTTAGCTTCTGTGACTTGTCTAGCAGCTCAGTACCATAAGCATAATTAACATTTCCTGACCGGGCAGGCAAAGGGACTGATTGCATTGCAGCAGGGAGAGGAGCTGTCCAGCCTCCACTGTCTCTGCCTTCCCTGAATATCAACTTAGCTCTGTTTGTATTTTTGGAGAAGTTTAGAAAGGGGACAGATATGGAGATCTGACCCAGTTCTGTTGGCTAAGACTCTGTTTCGCTGGGATTTATGCTGCCTTGTGGATGCCAGAGGAGCTTGTGGGGAACATAATAGTTGTGAATTTCCTGTCCCTTCTCCCTTGGGCTGCTTGTAAGTCATGGAATTCACAATGAGAAGGCATTGGGATGGTTTTAACATGTCAGCCTGTCTTTGTCTGGTATCAGGAATTAATCCTTCCCTTGTGGGATATTAGCTGGCCAAACCAAGCAGAAGTGAACCCCTCAGGGTATGTCCAGAAGTAGCTGAGAGCAGCACTTTCCAGTGTGGAGAGACAGACATGCACTAGGTAGTGGGCTCAAAATAGCATGGTGGTCATGGTGGCACAGAGGGTTGCTCAGGCTAGTGGTCAGGGTACAAACTCATTCAGTCCCCTCAGTGTGCACTCGGGTGACTAGCCCTAGCACCCAGTCCTGCCACCCTGCTTCTGGAGCAGAGCTAGAACATGGCCCACTATCAGTGGAGGGAAACATATTCCCAGATGCTGTGTAGACATATTGTGGACCCAAACGTATGAGGCTGCAGGGGAATGCTGTGGAAAATCTAAAGTTGCTTTAAAAACTCTCCCTCTGTGCTGCAAATGGGAATGTCACTGAAATGAAGTGGCTGGCACATATGCTTCAAAGCCCAGGCTATGAGCGCTTCTAGTTTTGGGAAGTTTGATTCCATTTGGTAGGGGGTAGTGGTGTGTATGTGCATCAGCGGCTTCATAGTGATCCCCCTCCCACCTCCTTCACCCTGCCCGGAGCAGATCCATGTGGAGCAGCTTGAGACTGCAGCCTTTAGGTTCCTGCAGGGCTGCTGGCTGGGAGCTGCCTAGGTAAGTGCCTCCCAGCCAGAGCCTGCCTCTGGCACCCCCTCTGCTCCCCAATTACCTGCCCCAGACCACCACTCATATCCTCTGTACCCCTTTCCCCCACATCATAACTCTCTCCCAGACCCTGCACCCCCTCCTATATCCTTACCCCAGGCCAGAATCCTCGTTGGCATCCATACCCCCTCCCTGACCCTGCACTCCATTCCTCTGCCCCAAGCCATCACTCAGACCCTCTGCATCCCCTTCACCCAGGTCACAACTCCCTCCCAGATCCTGCATCCCCATCCTAGCACCTTCCCTCAGGCCAGAATCCTCTTCTGCACTCATACTCCCTCTCAGACTCCACACCCCCACCTGCACCTACACCCCAGTCTCCTACCCCAAGGTCCCTTCTGCACCCAACCTCTGACCCAGGCCCCAAACCCCCTCAGTAGAAATGCAGCCTTTGACCACTTGCCAAAACCTTGGAGTGGCCTCCCATTAAAAATTATTGTCCACCCCTGATCCAGTCCATGTTGGGCATTTACAGTTGGGATGTTAAATGTCAGTTCATTGAATAGTCAAGTAATCTCATGAATTTTTATTGGTTAGTTGACTATTCTATAGTCCCAGGGGTGGGGCTGGCAGCCACAGTGTCAAAACCAGCAGCACATGGTGCCAGGAGGGAGCTGATCCATGAGAGGAGCCAGTTTAAAAACCAGCTCCCCTTCGGCCTGTCAGCCAGTGCTGCTGCCTCTGATAAAGAGCTGTTGCAAGCTGGAAGTGAGCTGGGCTGCCTGATCACCTGGTCCTAATACACTTTAAATGCAGAGCCAGAGCAGGGGTAGATTCTGGACCTAGCCCAAGCCAGAACTGAACTTGGCTGCTGGCCAACCAGCTAAAAAATTAACTGTCAAGGGTGGGGGAAGGGAAATGCATATAGTCTATAGCATTAACCTACCAGCTTTTGCTTATCAATTAATTAGTTAATCAACTACATTATTACATCCCTAGTTTACAGTTTTAACAGTCCCTTTATCTCCTGTCTTCCTTTGCTGTAAGCAACCTTTCAATACACCTTTAATTTTTCTCCAGTCTGAGTTGTATCTTGACTGATATACCACGGGGAACTCAGTAATGAGCCCTAACTAAACATCACTCTTCTCCTTTTCCAGGAGACAGGTCCCCAGGAAGCAACTTATCTGTTTCTGGCTGCCAGTGAGATGCGGAGACTGCTGCTTGCACTTGTAGGAGATGGCGTAAGGCATCGTGCGGGGACAGCGTGGGTGCAGAGTGGTTCAGTTTAGAGCTGGCATAATGGATTGCGCAGAAGAAGCTGCATTTGTAGTTGCATAACAAGAATTTTTACTTGGTTCTACAACACCTAGGAACAATGTATTCATGTGCGTCATCTACTGGCACCTTATGCATTAGCTAGCTATTACATATGGGTATGGACAGGGTGCCCTCTTGTAACAGGGCCATGTACTCTGAAGGGAATACAGTCTCAGCACGATATGGTGAGTTTCAAACTGACCCCTTTAAAATTTTAGTTAAAATGCTGCCTGCCGCTCTGGCCTGTTCAGAAGCACACGGAAGGCCAGGTGCAACGTGGTCTTGGCTAGGAGGTTGAAGGGGCACCTGCAAAGCAAGCTTGTTTCCTTTGCACCCAACGGCACCCATCAAGGCACAAATGCGTAGTTTGCCTCTACCTGAACACTGGGGTCTGTCCATGCAGTGGTGAGGATTGATGGAGCTTTTTCCAACAGGGAAGAAGGGGACAAATTGTGTGTCTGATGGGAAGCATCCAGGCAAGAATGGCTCAATATGGGGGTTGGAGACACAGATGCCCTCAAAGTTCAGGGGTGGGTTGTGCTCAGTCCTGGCTTAGGCCCATCACTAATTTAAACTGGGGGGATTTATTTCAGGCTACAGCAATCTATTAATGGTTGCTTCTGATTTACATAAATAATTGACTGCTCATTAATAGCTCATTAGGAAGATTGAAAGCAAGGTGCTTAGAGAAATCCAGAAGGAAGAGAAGGGGGCAAAGTCCCTGCTTGTCAATTACACTGTGTATTCACAGTGCAGGAGCCAGAGACCTGATTGCTTATCAATGGACTGACAGAGCTAAACATTCATCTGCAAATCTCTCTGGAGACCAGCCCTTGAGTGTGATGCCAAGAGGAAATTAGCAGAGCCCTGCAAATCTGCGGATAACTGCTTTATATCCCTTGGTATCCACATTCATGGATATGGATGCGAATATCTGTGGCTCATTTTTGTGGGTGTGGGTGCAAATGTTGGCCCCATGCAAGGCGCTAGAAATTAGGAGAAGCTGTTGGTGGAGGGGTGCTCACCTGTGGAGGGGACAGAAAAGACTCACAGGGCACACCTTGACGATGGATGACAGGGAACTGGGGATGCCAGGCCTGGGCTGGCTGAAGGCCAATGGGAGAACTGCTAGAGATGAATGAACAAGTCTCTTCTGAGGGAGATGTGATGTGGGACCTGAGGAGGTAGCCCAGCTAACAAAAGCTAATCCAAATGCAAGTCCAGGTCTCAGTGCTCCACAGGAAGGTGTGGGTGGCAGATTCTACTGCCAGTCCTTTGTTTTTATTCCATCCCACACTCCTCATGCTCCTTTCTGTTGGCTGGCATCAAAGCTGGGCTTCTTTTGTGTCACTGGCAGGACCTGTGCCAGCGCTTTGTGGGAAAGAAAGGAATGGGCAGCCCTTTATCTACTAGACACAGTCTTTCTCCAGAAAGAGTCCTGGGTACTATGCTGCTCTCCCTCTGCCCCTCGCCCCCTCGCACTGCAGGAGCCTCAGGCAGTGAATGAATGAGGCAGAGATGACAGCCCTGAAGCTGCAGACCTCTGGGATTTGGAAGGATTCAGAGAAAAGAATGGAAACGACTGGTTTTGTCTCTCCTCAGTCCAACTTGCGAGGGGCTGTCTCAACCCTGAATGGCAGTAAAGCTCCCCTCTTTCCCAAGACTCCCCATCCATCTCTCTATGCCAGGTCAATCTCCACCCCATATTGGCCATTTTCCTTCTAGCCCTAGAGGGGGCAATAATTTTTGATGGGGGACCACTCCAATACTTTGGTAAGTGGTCAAGGGCCACAGTCTACCATGGTATTAATGGGTGGAGTGCAGGTCTGGGATGGAGTTTGGGTGCAGAAGGGAACTTGGTTAGGGTACTGGGGTGCAGGCATTGTGGGGTCTGGGAGGCAGATTGGGTAACAGAGAGGCTTGTGACCTAGGACAAGGGATTGGGGTGTAGGAGAGGTGCAGGGTCTGGGAGGGGATTGTGACCTGGAGCAGAGAGTTGGGGTGCAGGAAGTGAAGGGGTACCAGAGGCAGGCTCTGGCTGGGAGGTGCTTACCTTAGGTGGCTCCCAGCCAGCAGTCCAATGGGACCCTCAGGCATGCTCCTTCTCTGCTGTGCCCCCGAATGTTGTGGGGGCCATGTGCCATCTGTGCGCTGCACACCCTTTGGGGAGGGGCCCTCTCCAAGCTACCCACACAGCAAGCATAGCCCAGGAAGCTCCAATTGGCTGCTTTCTGGCCAATGGGAGCTGCAAGATTGCACAGCAATTGTGGATGGAGTCAATGCATGAACTCTTCTCCTGAAGGTGTTCTGAGCATGATGCACATAACCCTTCAGCAGGCAGGGAGCCTGCCTGAGGCCCCCACTGGGCTGCAGGATGGTGGCAGGCTGGATTTGGTGTCCACCCTGTTCTAGTGTCTAGTGTCTCATCTTGCCTCTGCGCCATAGGAGAGAGATAATATGGCCAGGGTAAAGGGTTTGTGGCAACCTGAGAGCCCCCTCCATACAGCCCATCAAAACGGTTCTCTCCTAGGGAGCAGGCAGGGAGCCTGCCTGAGGCCCCCACTGGGCTGCAGGATGGTGGCAGGCTGGATTTGGTGTCCACCCTGTTCTAGTGTCTAGTGTCTCATCTTGCCTCTGCGCCATAGGAGAGAGATAATATGGCCAGGGTAAAGGGTTTGTGGCAACCTGAGAGCCCCCTCCATACAGCCCATCAAAACGGTTCTCTCCTAGGGTTCCTAAAAGCTTCCAGGGCTCCAAGACTGGTCTGTAGCTACCTCTTACTTCTGTAGGAGACAGAGTCCCTTGGGATGTGCACGCGCACACACACGCACACACGCATGCATGCACACACACACAAAGGCTCTGGCCCGGGACCTGAAAATGTGAGCTGTAGGCTGGGGTTCCGGTGGCATCTATTCCACGTTCCAGTGAGAGGCTGGCAGGGCACCACTCCAGCTCTGCAGAGGCTGCTGCGGGTTGGGGGGGTGCTCCAGCCTGGGCAGAGCAGCCCCTGACCCAGCCTGGCATAGGGCTGCTCTAGCCTGGCTCCCCTCCTGCCGTCATTTAATCGGTTAACTGGTTAAACATAATGTTTAACAGATTAATCAGGATTTTACATCCCTATTCCACAGTGAGGTCATCCTCAAGGACCATAACTGGCTACAGGAAATCTAGCTCCACCAAACCTTATTTTGCTAAGATGTGGCCAAATCTAACCTTAAACTCTAACCCACGTGCCCTTCTCCTTTCCCCTTTGTGTGTTGTTCCTGATAGTGTAAGATGTTTGGTGCAGACCATCTTCGCTGTCTGCAGGTCATCTACCATGTTGTAGGTACTTCTAGAGGCACCTACATGACAATAACACTCACAGGAGGGAATACTTGGTGGGAAATAGCCCGCTCAATGTGGCAAACTCTGAATAGAATGAGTCTCTTTCCTTTTGTGACAAAGCATCATTGACTGACATCCTTGAATTGTGTCTGACTCCTTTGAATTGTGCATTTCTGTAACAATATCAATGTGATGTGACGAAAGGAAAAAACAACACTGTGTAATGTATCACTTGCAGAGAACCTACTTCATCTGCCATTAACAGTCAAGCAATAATTTTTGCTTGTCTTCAATTTGACGAGGTAATAAATACAGCAGCCTGCTACGTTAAGCCTATTTGTGGGAGCAGTTTATTGATATGTACTTGGAGGCATGATGAATGACAGCCTACATTGAGCTTTACAGGCAGAATTGTTCAGTCTTTACTTTTGCTCCAGTATGATTCATTTCTCCTGTTTTATGAGATTACATTATTTTTCCTGAAAATTGGAGTCAGTTGGGGTGCGTCTACACAGCACCCTAAACTTGAAATAAGATATGCAATTTTCACTATGCAAATTGCATATCTTATTTCAAATCTATTTTGAAATACCTTATTTTGAAAATTAGGCACATCTACACAGCACCAAATTTTGAAATAAAGTGCTATTTTGAGCCATCCCTTATCCCTCATGCAACGAGGTTTACTGGGATGCTGAAATAGTGTGTCTGCTATTTCAAAATATATCTGTAAATTTGTAAATTATTTCAATATATTTTGAAATAATGGGGGGCTTGTGTAGATGCGGGGTATTTATTTTGGGATACCTCCAGTATCCCAAAATAGCTGTGCAATGTAGACATATCCTGGGAATGGGGAAGGGAAATAAACCCAGCCTCCTTGACTATTTAAATTGGAGAGCACAGTGATTCACAGAGAATATTATTTTTTAAATTGATCAACACATCAACTGTTAACGGTGTGGTGAACCAGGCTCATTGTAAAGAGGCTAGAAAAGAGAAGAGCTGTTATTGCAGGAAAGTCTCTGGAAGGACTGATAGTAAAAGGAGTACTTCAGTGGAAAGGCCATGAAAAGACACTTTACTAGGTCAGTTTTCAAAAGCAAAAGCTGATTAAAGCGAAGGGTATATTTAAAAAAAAACCCCAAAACCTGTTTTGATCGAATGAGATGCAACATGCACATCACACAGTAGCTGACGGTATCTGCAAAGTCTACCATAAATGATTGTTTTGTGAAATGAGTCTTTATCGATAGTATTATGTTTCTGCAGCCCAATTGCCTCCAAATTCTGCCATCTGTTATGCATGAGCAGCTCTACTATATTCAGTGTGGTGAACCAGAGGAAGCTGAAGGAAGAATTGGTTTTAAGCCCTTAGAAATGAATTGTTGCTGCACAAATCAATACAGAATCCAGCTCCTTCTCTCAGGGCTGCGATGGCTCTTGCAGGGCTACTGGGGGTAAGACGTTGTTGGAAATTCCTTTGTTGCAGAGTTTTGTAAACATGGCTCAGGATAAGGAGCAGATCTCTTTAGCAAGAAGCTGTTGTATTTACAGAACATTTTTTTTCTTATCCTAATTGAGCTTTTCCATTGGATTTCCCAAAACGCAACATTACTGAAGTTGAGGGAATGTCTTTTTGTTTTGTGTTTGTGGAGTATGGGTTGGTGACTGGGCCTCCTAGGTTCTACCACAAAATTATTAATAATTACATAGTCTGGTCCTGACATATTAATTGTAGCATGATGAATTCCAATAGTTGTTTACATTGGAGGAAACCCTAATTTCCTTGTGAAAAATCCCCATTCAAATAATGACTAGATTTCTGCATCAAGTTTCCTTTCTAGACACACTTCCAGTCTTTAATCCTGAAGCTGACCCACCTCTCATAGACCTGGTCTACAATGGACCTGGAAGGTTGGCAACTCCTGCTATGCAAAAAGCATAGCTGGACTCGGCTTACCTTAAGCCGAGCTGTGGCGGTGTCCACACTTCAGGAAGCCAACGGGAGTTTCTTTTAGTCCTTGCAAAAGGAGTACTGGACACTAGTGGGAGTTGCCCTTAGTGTTTGATGTATGGTCAGTACTAGACCCGCTAAATCAAACTCTAGAAGATTGACCTCCTGTGGTAAGTATAGATGTACTCAGTGATCAGAGGAGCCTCTTAGATGATGAAGTCATCCAATTGTTTTCTAAAGAAAGGTGTTCTGGAGAAGAGAGTTAATACAGGCACAGAGCTTGGTAAAGATTAGTAAATGACATGTGTAAATGACTCCTCTCTTCGGAGTCTGTTGTTCATGTCTTCCAGGCTTCGACGATCATGAGGAACTGGTGGAGCCGGACCGCATGACTGAAAATGGCGTGAAAAGCTGCAAGATGGCCACCGCGCATGCACGGTCCAGCAGACAATGGCTAAAAGATCTCTGATCTGCAGTGCCGAGAAGAGCCTGACACCCACAGTGGAGCACCCACGGGGACACACACCTGGAAGAACCATCATTATTGCACAGGGTGAGTAACTTCTATCCCTTTCCTTTTAGACTTTTACACACTCAATTCTTTTGCCTTTTGTCCTTTGAGTGGTGATGCTTCAGTGAATTTTAAATAAATTCTTAAAGTCATGTAGCCAGAGCCATCTGTAACGTTATGCCAAACTGAGGTGACCACTTCCTAGGCCTGTGTTTTGGAAGGACTTGTGGGCTGGTGTGATTGGCTAGTGGGGTTGGCGTCAGAAGTGACATACTCATCACTTCTGCCTTGGGTCCTACACCTTGCGTGCAGCTAAACACAATGAACTGGAGTGTGGACTCATTTATTCTGGTGCAACTCTGGAGTAACTCCATTGGCTTAAATGGTATAACTCTGGATCTACATTGGTGTCGCTGAGCTAAGAATTTGGCCCACTGACTGATGTGGTACTAAAAATGCCTAACTGTAGCAAGTTGGGAATCCATGAAGCACAGCATAGACTTAAAATATAAGACAGCTAATAAATATCCAAGACACCAGTGTTTGAGAAACAGATGGACGAGTAAGTTTGGACTACGTGAGTTAAGGACACATGAATGAGTGTACTGAATAGCTGCAATAATGTGTCTCTTCTAGGATTCTGTTGGACAATAGTCATAAGCAGCTACATCAGAGGGTGGGATAGGAGCCCTGGCACTGGACAACTCTGGAATAACTTTCCAACAGAGGAAGTTTTTCCCTAATGACCAGGGCTCGCCGAGTTGTGGCAAGCCCCGCTTGCCAGCTGTGCTGTCTGTCGTTCGAATCCAGCTCTTCCTGGATGTAATCTACTCGCCATGGGCGACTAGACTATATAGATTGTTGAGCCCTCCTAATGACTGTTGGTTCACAGTAGTCATTGTGAACAGAGCAGCCATTTATTTAGCACATTTGGCTAGCTATTCAGTCTTGTGCCCATAGGGCTCTTTCATTTGTCAGTTTGTTTCCCCTTCACTTGTTTGTGCACCTCAGGCTCTGACAATGCCTTGTTTTGAGGGGTGGGGGGGGGAGGGGAGACACTGATGCAAATAAATCATTTAACTGCTCTATAATGTCCTTATCTTCTTTAACTCCCCCCAGGGTGGAAAAATGATCTGTTACCCAGGACTATCTGGAAGTACCCAAGAGAAAAGGATCATTCCTCTCACACTCATGAAAAGAAATATGAGTCCAGATTCTCCTTTGACACCCTTTTGGGGTGGGGGGGGGAGGGGAGACACTGATGCAAATAAATCATTTAACTGCTCTATAATGTCCTTATCTTCTTTAACTCCCCCCAGGGTGGAAAAATGATCTGTTACCCAGGACTATCTGGAAGTACCCAAGAGAAAAGGATCATTCCTCTCACACTCATGAAAAGAAATATGAGTCCAGATTCTCCTTTGACACCCTTTTCCCACTCGGCTATGATTTCTTCTGATCATAGAATCATAGACTATTAGGATGGGAAGAAACCTCAGGAGATCATCTAGTCCAACTTCCTGCTCAAATCAGGACCTATCCCAACTAAATCAGGGTTTTGATCACAGCCACTATCCTCTTTTGCTCTTCCAACATGATGCTGAGAGCACAACTCCTTGTGTCCTGAACCAAGTTCTACATAAACACATGGGGTGGTTCTCACATTACAATAAGTAATTTCCCATTCAGGTACACTCACCTTTTTACATCTGTTGGGCTACGTCTAAACTACGATCCTTTTCCACAAGAAGAAATGCAAATGGGTGCTCATTTGCATATGCCGTGCTCTCATTTGCATTTCCTCTTCCTTTCCCTTTTGCGCATGAATGAGGAAAATGAGGAAGAACAGCTCTTGTGCAAAAGGGTTTTTTTGTGCAAAAGGCACTGTCTGTACAGCGCTTTTTTGTACAAAAACCTCTTGTGCAAAAGAGAAAGGAAGAGGAAATGCAAATGAGAGTGCAGCATATGCAAATGAGCACTCCATTTGCATTTCCTCTTGAGGAAGAGGATCGTAGTTTAGACGTAACTTGGAGATGAGCCACATCCATTCTGATTTAATTAGCACTGATGTCATAGTCCCATCCCTGTAGTCTTTCTTTCTTTCCTTCTTTCATGAAAGCTTATGCTCTAATACAGGACTACTCAACTTTGGAAGCCCCCTGGGCCACAATAATACTCACAGCACATGCTGAGGGCCACAACTTAAGTGTGGTAGCGTAGACATGCAAATATATATGCAAATATATGCAAATAACATCTTTCACACTGACGGGCATGAATACAAAGATTAAGGCAAGACCACACAACTTGTAGGCCCCATTTAAGTCAGTTTTGCTGATATTAATAAAATGCAATATTTACCCGATTTCCACCCATGTGACAGCACATTCAATGAGCAATGACAGTCCAGGAATTGAACTACTAAAACACATATCGACAGAAGACCATTCTATTGACTCGCTGTTGTGGATGGTGTTCCCAGTGGAGGGCATGTTCAAGGGATCCCACCTGCAGGCTGCATGTTGAGCCCTGTGTGAACCCAAACCGCACTGTGGGCTGCAAACAAACGGGCCACAGGCTGCATAGCCCTGCTCTAATACATTTTTTAGTCTTTAAAGTACTACCGACTCTTTGTTTTTGCTGAAACAGACTAACACAGCTATCTCTCTGAATCGTATGTTCCAACTCCTTTGGCAACTCAGCTAACACCATGGCTGCCACCCATATTCTCACACTAACTCAGGTTTCCCATTGCCTGCCCAGCTACAGGAATGTGCCAGAGCCAAAGAAGGCTTCAGGCTTCCAAAATTCAATACCATACGCCTGTACAAAATTAATCAAGCTGTTTTCCCATCACGATCGCTAGGTTTCCAGATGTTCCCTTTCCTTCTGACATATTTTCTCACTCAAATAGGCTGATTAGCCTGAGTTCTGAATTGGTAACAGAACATAGCCAGAAATCAGCTTGTGACTACAACATGGAAAATGTGATCACATTCTGTGTCCCTCTCCTCTATGCTAAAGAAACTGTATGATTTTTCCTTTCCTCTCCCTCACTCCTGGAACTGGCTCACCAAATCTGCTATCCAGGGTTTTATAGGACCCAAAACAGTGCCACTTAACTGGGTTTGGGCTTTTTTATTGGTGGTGTCAGGAAGAAATTAACAGGGGACACAGTTTGGTACAAGCACGTACATGTTTATTTAATACTGTTTATTAGATTCTAAGTATGTACATAAATTTGCAATAAGTTTAGGACATTTTAGATACAGTTGCCATTTGGAGGGCTTTCAGGAGCTCTCTTTTTGCCCTGCTGATGGGAAGTTTAGGTGCCAGCTTTTTGCCTGAAAGAAAGCTTCCTTCATCTGTTTTGAGGTATTTACTTCTACCTAATTTCTTATAGCTAACTTTAACAAAGCACATAACCCATCATGACTTCTAGTGGGTTAGAATAGTAATATTTCATGGGTTACCAGTTTTTGAAATATTAAGAAATGATTGTACAATATTTAAAATATTTTTAGTTGTAACAATGATATGCCAGGGCATTTAAAACCTGGGTTATGTCCTTATTTTTATACATTTTGTTTAATTTATTTATTTAGTATAATTAGCAAACTGCAAAAACAGGTTGGCCCTCTTGGGATCTGAGTGGTCCCGAACCACAGAGGAGGTCAAGGCTCCTCTCTGGGCTGTGGGCATCCCTGGAGCCTGGGCTTCCCTCTCTGGGCTGGAGATTCTTCTCAGCTACTGCCAGGGCTCCTCAGTGTAGGGCTCCCCAGGGCTGGACTCCCACACCCACTGCAGGACTAGCTCCTTCCAGCCCAGTTGGAGCTCCCCAGCACCTGCGGGACTCCCAGCTGGCTTGTGCACCTCTCTTCCAATATCTATGGTCCTTCCTTCCAGACCACGGGATGTTGCTGGACCAGACAGTCCCAGATTTGGGAGGTTCAACCTGGATACAACTGTTTACACTGGCTTTACAAAGTTCTACCTTTTTGTAGCTTGTGTAATGTTTGGGTTTTAACAGGCAATGGCTGAATGTACAACATTGCTGACTGCAGTATACTGTCACATTCTAAAATACATGCAAATGTGGAAGTGAGGGATTTATGGCTAGATCCTACCCCACCTCCCTACCTTCACTGAGTCCCTTATCCCGCTGTCCTAATGTGGGAGCCAGCTCCATCCCCGGGGCAGCCAACCACTCTGTGCTCCCCCAGGGAATGTCCCAACACCTAAGCCATTCCAGGACCCACCCCACCTCCCTACCTTCAGTGCCTGCCTTATACAATGTAACTGATTTCTTGTTGGCTGTTTTTATCTTTGGCTACTTGCTCTTAAAATGTCCTTTTTTTGCCTTTCATTTGCATTTTACCTTCCATGGTACATATATTGGCTTCACTTTTGCTGGGTTTCCAGAGTGCAATTTTAATAGCTATTGATTCTTTCTTCTGCAGCCATTAAAACATTAAATGTGAACATATGTGCAAACTAGAAGACATGCCCAGCATTGCCTGGGTCTTACAGGGTAGGGGGCTGGTGGTATGTGTGTGTGTGTGTGTGTGTATGGCAGGGGGGGCCACGGGGCTCAGGAGTCATAGTTGAGGAGGGACTTAGGGCAGGGAGCTGGGTATGTGGGGGTTGGGGCTGAAGAGAGGCTCATGGAAGGGGGTGGGAGTGCAGGAATCAGGGCAGGGGATGAGGAGGAGGGGGAGCAGAGGGAAGTGGGTGGAGGCCTCAGGACAGGGCGAAGTACTAGCAAAAGCAGCTGCCCTCAAGTACCTGTCTGTGGAACGTAGCCATGCTCTGGTAATTGTGTTGAAGATGTGGCAAAGTTATATTGTTGCATCTTCATGATTGCCAAACCAAACTGAATGAGAGAAAGGGTTTGGGATGCAGCCCTTGTGTAGGATTGTGTTTGGCTCTAGATAACTTCGGGGGAGGGGGTTACTAATCATTTTAATGAATTTTGAAGGAGTTCTGGGAAAAAAAGTGAAGCTGAGTTCAGTGAGATTAAAATAAATTCCTGGGATAGTCCAGATTCTTGGGGACAGACAAACCTGTTCTTAACTCTGCTGACTTAATTCTGTCCCTTCCAGTGCTGGTGCGGAATAGATCTGTTACTCAGCATCCATTAGAACTACTCTTCAAATATGATCAGTTTTCCTTCTTGCTGATCCCTTGTCATTTTCATCCTGAAGGAGCCGTTGGTGAATTGTGGTTTGCCCAGAACATAGTCCTGGGAAGAGTTGAGACTGGCTAGTCTTCTTTTGAGCAAGTGACCACTCATGGATTTAAAAGTAGCCATTCTTCTATAAAGGAACATTTACACCTAGTTACAGAGAGAGACTGCGGAGCTGGAATTCATCTACAAATTTAACACTGTTACCCTGGGCTTAAATAAAGACATTAACTGGTTAACTCACTGCAAAGCCAGTTTCCCCTGCCTTTGACATCTGTATTTCCATATTAAAAGCTATGTATGGGACACAACCAGTCCCCTAGGGCCTCATTAACAGGGACCCACTAATTGACATGTACTTCTTTTGTTGTTTTATATATCTTGGATTCTGTTATTTCCAATCCAGCTCATCTGATTAAGTGGGTTTTACCCACAATAAATCAGGATCCTATATATTTTAGCTAGTCTCTAAGGTGCCACAGGACTACTCTTTTTTTTAAAAAAAAGTAGATGTAGCCATCAGAATCTCTCCGTGGTTGGGAGACCCATCAGGATGGAGGGAAGGATGACATGGATTTTTCAGGACCATGGAGAGATCACACCAGGTTAAATGTCTCAGAGGGGGAGCGGTATTAGTCTGTATCTGCAAAGACCAAGAGTCCAGTGGCACCTTAGAGATGAACAGATTTATTAGGGCATAAGCTTTTGTCAAGTGCGTTTTACCCATGAAAACCTATGCCGCAATAAATCTGTTAGTCTCTAAGATGCCACAGGACTCCTCATTGTTTTTACCAAACTAAATGACATTTATGCTGCTTGTTTCAGGAAGGGCACAGGCCATGTTTTCTGACCTCTTGGTGTAAATTGAGAGCAACTGTACTGAACTGGAGTTAAACTGATATAAACCCATTCTGAGATAAGATACAACCATTTAAATTTATGCTGCACACTACAGCACTTGAAAAAAGATGTCTCAAAAATGTACCTCTTGGCTATTGTTTTAATAAGAAGTGTTCAGCTTCTCTGTCATATATATCGAGCTCCTGGGAATATTTTTATTACTTAATAGGGCTTCCAGCCATGGACGTCAGCATGATGGTACCTTTATGCTTAGTTAAATGACAGGAAAAGAGCAACACTTAGGGATGTCATCCAGAAGGACATTTATTGTTTAATCTTGCATAGTCCTGAGTGCTCTAGAGTCCTATTGATGGGAGAATGTCAAGCATCCTCAGAGAGCATCCTGCAGTGTAGCTCCTTTCCGGCTCTTCTCCATCGCGTCAAGATCTGACCTGCCTGGGCGTAATTCAGTCACCTGTGACTTATGAAGCATGGAGCACCATTGTTTTGCAAACCAAGCTCTGCTGTGATGACAGCTACCTCTTATCTCTTTTGCAGGGGCAGTTCTCCTAAGCAACCAATACTCTGTGGAAGGACTGTGAAATGTTCCAAATAAATCTGAGAGACAACACCATTTGAATACTGTAATGGGGTGGCACTCGCCTCTCAAGAGCGCTCCCTTGGGCTGAGTACGTGTGCCTGCACTCTCTCTGTTCATCAGCTGAAAGCCTCTTCGGCAACTCAGCCTAATGTGAATCAAACCCCTTACAGAGTACACCTTTAACCGGAGTCCATCTTGGTGGCCTCTTGTCTGGTGTCTGAGGCCACATTTATACTTACTGTGCTGGAGATTGATTTTCTGGCATTTGATTTAGCAATTGAACACTGGGGATGGGTCCGGCTGGTGCTGGTATTTCTGTCAGTTGCAAGGAGTAAGGGAAGCCAAGGGGATTGTTTGTCGCAGGGTCTCTCCTCTCTCTGTGAAGCCGGCACCAAGCTCAGCTTAAGTTATGCCAATTCCAGGTATGTATTTTACGTACCTTAACCCAACCTTCTAGGTTTTTTGTAGGCTCCACCCTTGATGGTTCTCCCTGCCCTTGCCTATGGGAATGGGGCAATAACGCTTGGAGGAGATCTCTTCCCACACAGAAGATAGGTAGCTCCCACTGTGGAGTAGGAATGTGCCTTATGCCACCTTACTCGGCTGTTCCTTGGGTGTGCAAGGTGAGATCTGTTGATGGCAGGGAAGGGCAGCTGGCAGCCACAGAGGACCTGGATTCTGTAAGATTTTTTTTTGTTCTCAGTGGCACTCTGTGGGCTTGTCCAGCACAGCACAATGGCTCCATGTTGGCCTATTCAGCAGCAGTATTTCAGAGACGCTGAATGATCTTTGCTTTGTATGAACCTAGTGAAAGCCCCACTGGGAGGTAAATGTGCTGGAACTTCAATCTTATTCTGACGTGGTTGAGTTTAGTAAATTGTCTTTGGCTAATAAGAAGGGGAGTTAATTCCTCGAAATGTAGCATTGTTGTGTTAATGGTGTCAGATTTTTTTTGACCTTGGGGCCTCTCCCATGAGAAATGTACCCTTAAAGTGGGTAACATTTTATTTTATATGATGGAGCAACAAGCAACAGGACCAGACAATGATCATTTTCCTCTTGACAAGACTAAATCACAACTTTCTAAACAGGGTTAAAGTCACTTATAATCTCAGACTTACTAGACTGTCAATGGTGCTCCCAACTGCAATTTCCAGGGGGCCAGTTGCATATTTTGCTGCCTCCACACTCAATATTGGGCAAGTCTAGTGTTTATATTGGGGCTCAGGAAACATAGCCCCAATCTGTACTTCCTACTGGCTCAGCATGGTCTTGGATAAGACCTTTAGCCTCTCTGACTCCACTCTCCATCTCTAACCTGCGTGGTTGACACCCACCCAACTTTGAAATCTTCTGAGAAGTACTACCTGCTTCGGTGTGGCCACTGATTCTGTGTATATTGACCAAGGAAGCCACATTAGCATCTTTTACAGAAGGAACTTTGTTAGAGCATTGGTCTCTTGGGAGGGATACCTTTGTCTTGGCGCAATGCGGATAGAGTTGCATCTTGAGGACCAGCAGTACAAATACTTGCTCTAATCTCTCCAACCTGATACACAGGGGTAAAAGGGTAATTCTGGTTCCATGTCCTTGCAGTTCCTTTCTGATTCACTTGCCAAGCCCAAGAACAGGAACACAGATTGATCATCAAATGGACAACAGGTGGTAATGACTTTGGATCACTTATTAGATTATTTGAACCAGTGACTTGAAAGATGAAGCCTTTTACCTTCAATTCCTACTAGTCTCTTTTTTTGTTTTGTTTTAGGTTGTGAAGCAAATATAATCAATGAACCCCAAATCATGCTCAACTAACTTTGGTTCAGCCCAGGCTGCAAAAATCTGGTGTGACGGGGTAGACCCCAGTCCTGGAGCAGATTCACCTTGGCTCTGGGAACACACAACCTATTGGCCTGTCCCCCAAAGTTCAGTGCCCCTCACTTAGGGGAAATATGAGTCAAGCCTTTTTCCCAGTCCTGGAGGCTGGATTTCGGGAGGTTTGGGGGAGATAGGAGGACTCAGGCCCTCCCACTCCACCGGGTCCCAGCCCAGGGCCCTATTGGCAGTGACAGTATCCACTGCCTGGTCTGACCTCCCGGAGGTCCTTCCTCTGCCCTGGGCTGCTTCCTGCCTTTTTCCCCGACTGAGGTGAGGTCCAGGGGTCTGTGGTTCGGGGTGTGGCTCCGTAGCGGTGGTATCAAGAAGCTTAGCTCATGAGGCTGCAGGGCTGGCAGGCATGGCTTTGGGGATGGCTGGGGCAGCCCAGAATCTCTTCCCTGTTCTCCTGCCCCTTCAGCTACCTCCTCTGACTGCCTGCTTTTCCTGGCTTTTATCTCAGGCCTCACTCTTGAGCATGCCCCGCATTCATATCCTTTGCACTCAGTTCTCACCTCAAGAGTCCATAGATTAGTTTCCTATGTTCAGCAAGTAGAACTGTAAGACACACAGGAATATTTTGACCAAACCAAAATAAAGTTGGCAGAGACTGGAAACAAGTGGTCATAAAACAGAAATAAATGGCCTTGGAATATTTAAGGGTGGTTAGTAAGAAAAATTACTCTGATGATCATTGCAGAATTGCACATGCATGTTCTAGGTACACCCCTGTGAAGAGGATCATTCACCATAAACATTGCCTAGTAGTCAGGCAAAAGTGTAGCAGGGGCTCTGTTTTTCTTCTGTGCCATTTTGAAAAGGGGCTTAGAATTCAGGAGTCTCCTTCCTGCATTAAGTGAACCAGTTATTTTTCTGCTCCCAGCTAGTTATTTACTCCTTGGAGGAAGGGAGTGGGAAACAAAGATGAATGAAATAGTTTAGTGAGTAATTTCTTTTTCAAGTTTGGCCTTCTATATAGTCTACGTCTAGACTGGCATGATTTTCTGCAAATGCTTTTAACAGAAAAGTTTTCCGTTAAAAGCATTTGCAGAACAGAGCGTCTAGATTGGCACAGACGCTTTTCCGCAAAAGCACTTTTTGCGGAAAAGCATCCGTTCCAATCTAGATGCGGTTTTGCACAAGAAAGCCCCAATTGCCATTTTTGCCATCGGGACTTTTTTGCGCAAAACAATACTGCGTTGTCTACACTGGCCCCCTTGCGCAAAAGCATTTGCACAAGAGGGCTTTTGCCCGAACGGGAGCAGCATAGTATTTCTGCAAGAACACTGACAATCTTACATGAGATCGTCAGTGTTCTTGCGGAAATTCAAGCGGCCAGTGTAGACAGCTGGTGAGTTTTTCTGCAAAAGCCAGTCTAGATGCAGCCTATTAGTATGGGTTTGTGTTTGAACCACAGTGATCTATAGAGGGATATTGTGATCATTAGACCACTGTGATCTGAATTCAGTGGTGGTACTGCGAAGTGCTGCTTTTTGATCAGTGTTCTCCATGGCTGATTTATTTCACTGCAAAGAGATGCACATAAATTGCTGAATTGGTGGCAACGGGGACTGCTGTCACAGGCAATTATGACAGTTGTTGCCCCCTTCTTTCCCAAATGTCTCAGTCCTGTGGGTGACAAGAAATCTGAAACTTTGGAAATCAGACAGCAAAACTAGCAAAATCTGTCATGCTTGCAGGCACACAGCAGGGAAGAGGGGGAATCTTTGTAAAATCAAAAAGAAGGTCTCTGTTCGGTAATTGGCCCCTTGGAGAGGAGATGCTGTTCGTCGGAAACAAAAGCAAAACAGCTCCAAGCCTAGCTTGATTTCCTCTAGAAGAGACACATAGAGAAGGAGGGACCCCTCTGGAATAGCGCGTGGTAGCAGCCCTCATTCCAATTGTTTCCTTTTTGGGGCCCTGTTAAACTTTTTTTTCACTAAATGAGTGGAGAGGAAGATGAGGCACCCACATATGATTGCGACCCTGCAGATGCAGCAAGGCCAGTCTCCCAGGCAGAGAAAAATTAAAATGCTCACCATTCTGTTGTAGAAACGGTTACATAAATTAACCAGGAGAGTTGCCTTCTAATGGCAACAGAGTCCCCTTGGCAAAGGGCCCCTGGTTTTTTTCTAGCATCTCTCTCACCTCAGAACTGACAAACTCACTACACAAAACACATCTGGAAGGGTATTTACCTACAGAAAGCACATCACTTGTCAAGATTCATAATCATGGCAAAATGTATGTATGGCTAATGCTTAAGGAATAGTCTACTATATATTTGAGAGAGTTTGTCTGTGTGTGTGAGTGTGTGTGTCTATTTATTCAAGAACTCCTCCTAATGGGTAAGAGCTAGGACCATCACATTCAGCATGCAGTTTTTTCTTATTAGAATTTAAAACAAGGTCAGGGTCTGGTTGTGCCAGGACAATGGGCTGTGCCTGCAATGGGATTGCTTCTCACAAAACCATACAGAAAAGAGACAGAATCACCAGGCAGGTGAAAAAGGTTGGTGCCCTCTTCCGTCCAGGACTGCCTGAGCCCCAAGCTCCTCCCACTCCAGGCTTCCTTTAGGGAAGGTGAGGGGGCTGAAACTCCCCCTCCCACATGCATATGGGAACACTGCTGGCTGTTCCCCTTTCTCAGGGAGCGAGGGGAAAGTGCACAGTTTGCTGCATTCCTTGCTCTTGTAGAGAGTGCAGGGGGCAGACAAACCTGGATTTGTCCCAGCCAGGAGACATGCACCCTCTCCCCCAGCTGTACCTGCTGGAGCTGCAGCAGCCAAGGAGAGGCGCTTCTCACTTGGCCCCAAGTTGCTGTGGTGAGAGAGGGCTTCAGCTGTCCTGTCTTCCCAGGGTAGCCTGCATACTGAACCCCTCTTCCCCAGCCCCACCCCAAAGCAATGATTTAAATGAAGCCTGGACCTTTCCATTTTACTTTGCAAAAAACAAAAATGTATTGAGTTAAGGACCCAAGCAACGCTGGGTAAATCATCTTGTGTGTTTATATTGAAAATGTGCTTTATGGACTTTGTGTGGAAATTACCCATCAGGAGATAATGCATCTCATAATGGCCCATTTGGGCAATGGGAAATTCTCATCCTTTTTGGCCAGTGATATAATAGAAGGCTTAATCATTTAGCCTTGTACGCTTTTCAAACTCTGAAACCATCAGTGGCAATGACAAACAACTGAAACCACTTAAAGGCAGGAAAGAAACTTTACAAGAAGAGGGAGGTTTGCCCTGCTGTGACTATAAAAAAGAAACTGTTTTCAATGCAACACAGAACAGGGAGAAGCAATGAGTAGTCTGTCACAGCTGTTTGAGTTGCTGAAACCCCTTGTGAAGAAGGGTATTTTCAAGAATACTTAGATCTTGGTTCTTGAGAAACCAGCCAGCTCAGGAACAAGTCTATTTTTTTTCCAGGTGTGGGAGGGAGGGGAGTGGGAGTGACTTTGTTGGACAAGAAATGTAACTATCGATAAATATAGACTCAGGATCATCTTTTGTGGTTCTGTTTTGCATTGTAGCCACTTGCTTCTGCCACTCTTGGTTCTAGTTACATCTTTATTCTTTCTTAAACAATCCTTTTTTTTGTTGTTAGAAGTGTTCACAAGTGGTGTGAGGCTTACAGCAGTAGTGATTTAAGGGAAAACTGGTACATTTGGTTACACCGCACCTTTGGGTGCATGCAGAAGATCAGGCATTTCTGGGAGTAACCAGTGTCAAGGGCTGGCTCTCCCAGGAGAATGAGTCAAAGGGAT